TAATGTTAAAGGTAAATTTGTTTTTGTCTCATTGTACCTTTGAAAGTACTCGAATTTGAACAAAGATTGAGTGTTATCTCAAAAAGATAAGTTGCCTATTTTTTCCAATTGCTTGTTTTTTATTTTAGTGAATTAATTTTTTTTTTCAATTTATTTTTCAGTATCCAGTCAAATTCATTCCATCGATGCGTGTCAGATGATGGTCGGTGCAATGGAGGTTCGTCGGTAGTGAGTGAAGTTTCTGGAGAGTGCGCGCCCGCACATTTACATACACACACATCAATACAACACATACATACACAACATCCATTCATTCGGTGTCGTTGTTGCTATGTTTCTCTTCAACTTTATATTTTCTTTACCGTGAACCGGACTTTAATTTAATTCATAGGTAAGTTAGGGACGGAGATGAGTTAAACAATTGTAGGTAGTCTAGGGCTTAACATTAGTTAAAAAGCTTCAAGTAAAATAAAAACGCTAAAATATGTTAAATAAAATACTTGAAACATCTAAAACGAGAAATACAAATTTGTAGCTAAGTGAGTTGAGTCAATGATTATAAGTAAGCTAGGGCCCTGAGAGTAATTTTATTATAGTTAGGTGACTGACTATTATTCTTACGACTTCTTACTAGTTTTGTGTGATGTGTTTGTTTTCGCTTCACAACACCACACCAACAAAACAAACTACATTTCATTCTCGTCGTCGCCTTAAATTGTACCTATTATATTTATTCATTAAATGTTGACTGGTTTCTAGTTTTTTTTTAAATTGGTTATATAATTTTTGGATATTTCTTGATTTACTTTGTATATATGCATGTGTAAATTATTTCTGTTTAGTATGTTGATTTAGTCATTATGATATGTTGTGAACTGTTCTTACTAAATGTTCATGTTACGTGGTTTATTATCCATCGAGAACTTCTAAGGAGTGTGTATGATAATAATAATAATGGATAATTATTTTTATCGGTCGATATTTTGTTATATTTGTTTATTTAAAATATGAATTTAAAAAAAAATTGACATTTTAAAATTTTAATTAACCGTCACTTTTCATTTTTGAATGAATTCAAATAAAAGCAACTACTGTGTTTTTTTTTCTTTACTAAAATCTCAAAATTGTTTGTAGATCTGTACGGTTAACTGTTTGTTCGAGTTTGAACAGGCCTTGCAAATTTTTTGTATTTATTTTTGTTTTTATTTTTGTTTATTTGGTTCATTCAATTTAGTTGATTGATTGATCGGTTGATTGATCGGTTGGTTGATTGATTGACTGACTGACAGACTGGCTGGCTGGCTGACCGACCGACTGACTGATTGTTTGATTGATTTATCTCATAGTATTGTATACATGAGAAAAAATCCGATTAAGCCAACCTACGGCTTCAGTAAGCCACTTATTCACCTGACAAAAGCAATTTCTACATTTATACTGACAAAAATAATTGTGATATGAATATATTGATTTATTTAAAGCATTATATGTACAAAAAAGTGCTATCGTAAGAGTTCTATGAAACCCTGTAAGCAACTGCTGTAAGCCAACGTATGATTTCAGCAGCCAGTTTCTTATGAGCACCAGCAGAATGTAAAATATTCATTGAATATAATGAAGATAGTTGTTCAAATAACAATTTTGATTTATTTAGGCCGTTTATTTCATAAGCAAACCAATTTTTAACATGATCGAATCGTGTAAAAAAAAGGGTGACTATAGTTCAATCCTACTAAGCCAACCTTCGGCTTCTGTAAGCCACCGGATTTCACCAGACCAAAAGCAATTTTTATATTCAAATTAACAAAAATAATTTAATAATACATAATTCTATTAATCATTATTAAAATTAAATAGAATTACTACAATGTTTTAAGCATATTAAATCAAGTAAATATTTCATTTAGCTTGCTCGTTAAAATCCATGCTATTTCGTAAGCCAACAATCGAAGCACGACAAATAGCCCGACCGATAGATCGAATTGATCGATTAGTCCTATTATTCTAGTTATGTGGTTTGGAGCAAGGGGAGACATTACTGAAAATAATTAAAAGTTGAAAAAATTGAGGTTCTTTGGATATCCCTGCTTCAACCCATAAGAAGGTGTTGTAAGCTGGTAAATAGGCCTCCCTTTGGTTGGAACGATGGGTGGGCTAGCAACAAAACATTTTGAATCTTTTGTTGATTTTATTTTTATAAATATCTATGATTTTAATATTCAAAAAGTATATATATATATATATATATATATATATGGTATATATGTATATGATTGTAAATTTTTAAGTTGTAAACTTTGTAAACGTATGTTTTATATATCCTATATTCATAGAATATCATATATTTTGAATATACACAGATATTCATAGATTCACTGTATTAAGATTGTAAACTTGAGAAAATATCGTTTTAGATTGATTGCAACGCATGCATCCTTTGCTAGTGATTTCTGTCAATTATATTTGTTAACTTCATCAGTTAAAAATATAAATTTAGAGCAATATATTTAGATAGTGCCAGTGACAATCCTACACTTGGAAGCAGTATGAATTTCAATTTAAGACATAGTCAGATGCATATTATTCTAGCTAGAACACGCGCTACGATGAGACAGGTTTCTACAACTAAGCATCCTACTAAATTTTGCTAGTAACAAAATATTAGTGTTAAAGCAATATGGAAACACGTTGTTAAAATAAAACGTTTGAAGTATAAAAATACTGAATGATTTGTTGGCATTTAGTGCCAGCACGACATTGAAATTGAAGTATTTGACCTGAACCTGGAAACGTTTGGTATTCGATAAGCTTCCGATAATAAACCGAACCTAAACCGTCAAGATTTCCTTGTGCCCATGCTATTCTTAGCAAAGTTTATAATGGGAAAATTAACGCGATGACAACACCAGTATAAATACGTTCTGATTGTGATTGAGTGCTGGTTATAAATAAAACAATTATAAAGACTTAGAGAATATTTTTAAAACAAACCTTACTAAAGTTAAATATCACCATAGTATAAAAACAAAAAACATGTCCTCATCATACAAAATGCAATAATCAGAAATTAATAATGAAAAATATCTCAAAAAATCACGAACACAACAAATTAAGATCGAACGATAAACAACTAACAGACAAGTTACCGTACATGCAAAAAATATTTCTGTATTAAGAAAAGAATAACAATATTTTTGGTAGATTTATGCAAATGAAAATGACCGATGCAAATTGTCTGGGATTAAACAAAATCAAAAACTAATAAAGAATTATTCAGAAATTTTCATTCATGGTTATATTATATGACCAGCTCAAATTTCTTCACAAGTGAGCAAAGTTGGATACATTTCTGTATAACGATGTCCAATATAAGCACACAATAGTTTAATATTTAACTCTTCCTTAAAGTTTATTAAAAAAGTTTCTTTGAAAAAAAAGAACTCAATATTTTACAATAAAAAATCTGTACAACACATGAAAAAATGAAGTGTAGTTTTTGAGGCCTTCTCTGAGTATTTTCATGTCGATGTAACTAACCACTTTTCAATATTATAAAAATCATTTCAGTCAACAGTATATCTAATATAAACTAGATCTATAAAAATACGTAAAATTAAGAAAAAAGTACATTAAACTAGAGATACGCAGATTAACAATGCATCAAAGTATTGGAGTACAACATATGAACAACATATTTAAAGTTTTCCAACTCTATAGAAGTAAATAGTTTAGCTGAAAGAGAAAATGAAGCTATCCAATGGTACACTCAATAAATCAAGCTAAACATAACCAATTATAACCGAATGATAAACTTATAATGATATGAAACAATGAATAAAAACAATGATATATTTGAAAATGAACTAAGTAGTATAACAAACCATATCCAACCGATGTATATATTTTTTAAACATAATAAACTAAATAGATGATATTTAACAAATTCATATTGACGATATTTCTCGCTGAGTTTAACTCAAATGTGTCAAAACAAAACAATAGTAAAATTGATTAAACGAGGTAACAACACAGAATAAAAACAATGATATATTTGAAAATAAACTAAGTAGTATAACAAACCATATCCAACCGATGTATATATGCATAACAAGATGTACTAGCAATAAAGTGTACAATGTACTTCTTATCGACAGGGAACATGAGTATAAATCTGTAAATATTGATTTATTACATCAATCCAGAAACTTAAAAGAGAACTATGTCAAAGCGATTATTTGAAATAACGCGGCGAGTGTATGTATAAAGAACGCATAACCATAATGTGATGTGACATGATACCCTGATTATTCATTATTCATTTTTGTTAGAGAAAAAAGTCAGTTGACCACCAATCCAGCCAAATTTGCGATAACGCTGCCTTCGAATTGTACTAATTTGCATAGCTAAGAGTGCAAAATGAATATACCAAAAAAAATAATGAGAATCTAATCTGGTGTCTGAAAAAAACTTGATCTGGCAGACGATGGCGATGATGACAATGTTTGATTGATTGTGGTTGCCATCTTGTAGTTTCAACTCATCCGAAAAAAATATTCGTTATAATTTTGTGATATCGTCAGTAGCCTCCTATAACATAAAAATCAAAAAAGTACATAAAACGTTTCCAAATTAATTCATCTGAAAAAAAGTACTATTTAGGTATGAGGATTTGTTGAAAAGCACCTACATTGAGGTCGTTGCAATCAGGAATTTGCCTGTGTGAAGAGTGGCCTACGTTACAACATCTGCAGCTGATCAACAGTTTGTCATCTGGTTTTATTTCCGTTTCTAGAAGTAGAAATTCATAAATAAAATGCTGAGTGCAGTTGGTTATCAACCGAAAATTGAACTTCTAATTACTAATTAATTAACTGCTGATTCTTTCCATTCTTCCTATGTACTTAAGTTGTAGAATCGAGTGGAAATGTTATTTAAATATTTCTCCAAAAAACTGTACCATTAAACTGTATAAACTTTACACATGTCTTTAATGAACGAATTTAAATTACACGTGCATATAAAAACACACAAAAAATTCTTAGAAAATAAAATTTGCTAAAAATGGCAACAGAACAAACAAAAATAATTAAAAAAAAATGAATGCAACAATAAGATCCCAACGTACTGAAGATGAGACTGACGACCACTCCGATGATGATGGTGAGCAGGCACCCGATGGCGCTGTACCACAGGAACGACACCTCATACATCTTCTCCAGTCCTCCTCCTCCTACTTTTCCATATGTTGACGGTGATGCTGCTGGTCTTTGTGGGGGTTATCAATTGATTCAACATTTAATATGTGGGTTAAGCAAAATGTAAGACTTATATACTTAGTGAACAAATTTCACAAAAAAATCACACCTTTGGAACAAAACAAAGCCACACGACACAACAAAGTGAACAAGACTAACTCTACAGCTGTCACATGATTATTCATGATGACGGACGTTGTTGTCATCATGATGCTTGCGCTGGAAATGTTGTATTCGAGACATCGATCAATTGAAGTGGGCAACGTTTGCATGTGAGGTTTCGTCACGAAGGCTCCAATGCTAAGCCACAATGAGATGATGGAGGCTACGACACATCCAGATACTGCACCCTGAGATTATTTGTTGAGATGAAAATGAAAGATTAATATTGGTCCAGTTGAAGTTTGTTTCATGTTAATGTCTTGAAGTTTTTTATCGTTTAATGACCAATTCGATCTAGATAAAACAATTGTGAATGAATGAATTTAACGACAAATGATAATGTAATAATAAGCAATTGAACGAAATAAATCAATAATGAAGTAACTCTGGCATTGGCGAATGGGAAGATACCCCCTAACAAAAACATGCCTAGACTGGGGCCCATGGTGGCTCCTGAGAAACTTAAGGAGGCCTGTGAATGATTGAGAGATAAAAAAAAACTTAATAAAATGAAATGTAGAATTTTTAAAAATGAACGTCGTTAATCTTTTAGGAATGAAAATATGTCAGACAAGCAGGGAAGCAGTTACGAAGTCAAGCAATCAAGTAAATATTCAATAAAACAATGAGAACCAACGAACTTGCAGAACATGTTGCCCCACTAATCTAGCAAGAAATGCAACTCCTAACGCCAACAGACCAAAAAGAACAACTGTTGAACATATATAAAAAATACAGAACAGTTCAACAACCATGGTATATGTACTCAACTAACTTTCAAGTTTAAAAATAAATGCTGAACAATTGACTTTGAATGAAATATTGATGGGAATAAAAAACAAAGTCAGTCTACTAACAATAAAAACAGCACAACCAATGATGACAACAACATTAACAATAACAACAACCTAGAACTTTGATGATGAAAGCCTTTGTGTGTTCAGTTTTATTTTTGAAGAAGTATGAAACCAAATCCTGCCAAGTGACTGCGGCACAGGAGTTCAACGAGCTGGATATTGAACTGTAACAAAAATTACATAAATAATAATGATGAATGGATGGTGATAGGATAATGACGAGATGACTCAATGAAGATGGGATAATAAAATGGTTGTGACGATTTGTTGATGAAGTGATGAAGACCGTACGTGCATCCTTTCCACCACTCGAACCTAAGAGCCCCACTGAAGAGGACGGCCAGGAAAGCTCCAGGTAGGCCAGGGTAGTTGAGTACGTTGACCATGAAGTAGGGCACCAACTGATGTTACATCACATTGCATATAAATCATGTCAACCATGTATATTTTAAGGTGATTGTAATGCGAAAAAATTTACAATAAAAAATATAATTATTTCTTGTAGCAGTCGCATAATTTTAATAGAACAAATAAACTGAGAAGAACGTCCTAAACATAATTTTAACAGAACAAATTAACTGAGAAGAGCCTCCTACCTCGGAGAAACCGGGTCTCTGGACGCTAAACAAAGATTGATTGAAATAAACTGAGAAGATATATACAACACCGACCTGATTGACATTTTCAACTTGCTTGCTCCTGACTGGATCGCAACCGAGATTGGCGTAGTAAGCAAACACGACGAGACCGACCAGGGAGGTCAGGACATTCATGCATATTATCATTGGAATGTTCAACAATACAGACCTAAAGATAAAAATATAAAGTGATGAAATCACTGGACAAACTTAATGGGATACAAATCGAAGGTATGAATATGAAAACAATACAAATTCATAATATGAATATTTGAATATTTCATTTTTTATAAGTTAGCAAGCAGGCAAATTAGGATGGCAAGAGGTTAGGGCATTACAAAAATTAATTAAAAAAGGAGTTCTGAATTTTCTAACAGTCGAGCTTTAGACAGGGTAGGGAGGGAGCAGTACCTTTGGACACTGACCTGTCCCACTCCGAAAATTGTGAGCGTGGAGAAGCAGCCACCGATGATGGTGGACCAGAAGGAAAGTCGCTGGGTCGGGTCGGGGTTGAAACTGTTGTGTTTTGAAGAGATTCTATTTTCAATAGAGAACCATTATAATTACATCAGAGTGGCCATTTATGATCAATATTTAGTTTAACATGATTTATTGAAAACAAGAAATAAAATCATCTCCATTGAACGTAGTGCAACAAAGACAATGAGATTGATGTATGAACAAACTTGAAGAAGATGATTCTTCCTCCTGATTCGTTGATAGTCCACATCTGCTTGAAGCCACCAACCAACAATATTCCCTTCAAAGTTTCAACAGGGTTTTATAAAGTTTAAATACAAATGTTATATAATATCATTGAAAGTAAAATTAAAAAAAATCAATTCAATAATGCTTTCAAATTATTTCAAATATGCCTTAAATTCTTAACAAGCATGATTGAATTGAAGCAAGCAACAAACCTGGACGACAATGAATAACATGCCACCCAACATGATGATGGCCTGCAAGGTGTCCACCCAAACTACACCTCTCAATCCACCCTAGCAAGTTTCAAATAAGTCAAACAAATTAATGAAACTGCATTTCATTCGCAAAATTCATGCAACATCATCATCATTATCATCATCCACCATGTTTCCATTGTCATCATCATCTCCCATGTTTCTATGTCTGTGAATTGTCATGTTGATGTTGTGCTATTTTGTTATCACTGCCATCTATTATTTAATTCATTAAATTGATGTCAACTATTTGGTTCATTAAACAGATATAAAAATGGACAAAAATTAATGTAAAATGAAACAAGCATATAATTTTTGAATCTTCAAAACATTTAAGCAATAAAACTAATGCAACAAGTATAGAGAAGACAAATAGCAACAAATTAAAAACTCACACAGTTTAATTAAAGCAACAATATTAATTATAATTATGTTTGAAATCAAAATGACCACACCACTACCACATACACGACACCAAACCAGACCAACTGACCAATGTTGTGTAAACAGTGCCAATGATCCCAATGGCCAAGATGGACACGTAGATGTTCAGCCCAGTTGATGCTTGCATGGCAGTGGCTGGTGTATACAGAAGTAGACCCATGTAAAAAACCTGTTTTCAAACAGGTCCGCATATAACTTCACTATAAACTTATCGGGACTACAAATAATTCTGTTTTGAAATGTAACTTAATCTTGCTATTGTCAAACGAAAAATGAAAATAACATAGAACAGATCTGCCTGTGTATGGTTTATACAAAAAAAGAAAAAAGAGCCCTAACAATATTAAAACTAGACTAATACGCTTGAAAAAATTTAAAGATGGTATCATAAAAATTGTAGAAAAAACAGAAAAAAAACATATAATGATTTAAATATGTTTTGTAATAGTCGCATATTAATAAAAATATTTAATAATTGATTTAATGAAAAAATGGATAAAAGTCATATTCACATTTCCAATGAGAAAGCTAATTGAACCAAGAAGTCGTGTAACTTTTGAATGGAATCGAGTTTCTAAATACTTGATGAAAAACATTTAAAAATCATCTCATTAGAAAAACTGTCAAGCTTTTAGTTTTTCAGTAAAAAATAAACAATTATATTCCGCAAAACAACAAAACAATAATTTATATAATATAAACCCTATTTTAATACCTATAAATCGCATATTACAATATTGAAAGTAACAACATTATTTGCTAAAAAATTTTATATGTGTGCCATATATGAAAATATAAAATAAAGTTAAAATTAAAACGTTTTGACCTCTTATTTTTACTTTTGTCAATAAATTATCAAAAAATTATATATATATGCCAAGATATATATAAATATTATTTATACAATGTTAGTAACAACTAATCCAAATATTATATTATAAATTAATTAATAAATTAAATAAAAATAAAATATAAACCATCAGAAAAATAAATATACACCTCAAAAGAGCTGGTAACTTTCAAGTTGAAAAACAGAGGGACGATGAAGAGAGATGATATGATGCAGGCCAACGTATATCCAATTGTCCTCATGAACAGTTGCGTCCCTTTCGTGTACATCTCAGCTGGAGTGCCAAGCACCACGATCCCACTCAAGAAGGAAACCAACATTGACAGTGCCACAGGGAGTGTGCTCATCGATCGATTGCCCACCAAGTACTCTTTCGGAGTCTTCTGCTTGCCGCCTGAGAATGCATGGTACAAGCCGATGATCAGTGAAAAAATCAACATCAACGCAAATATGGCATAATCAATAGCGTGAAAAACCATTCCAAATAGAACTTGTTCGTAGTTTTTCTGGTTAAAAGTGTTTTTTCAAATAAATAAAAAGTGGAAAAAATTAAACGAAGCTGCAAAAATTAAGACAACCAAAATTTAAAACTTTAAATCTGGCAGACTAGCAAACATGTGCGTGACGTAAGTGAGAGTAGATAACGAACTTTGGGCTGAGTCTCCTTTTATACGTTTTGTACTACAATTTGGCATTTAGTTTGACCTTGTTTATTCTCCATGGTAACTATAAAATTTTTCTCAAGTTAATTTCACGACTGTTTTAAGTTAAAATTTTAACTTTTAAGTTTTAAAATGTCAAAACGTAATGTCGAAAAAGCTAATTGGTTGAAAGAATTAAATTTTCTTTGTAGCAGGTAAGTTAGCGTTAGCTAGAGTCAAGTTTCTTAAGTAAAGTAAAGATAATAACAAAATAATAATAATAATTAATAATAAAAATGATAATAAACGTTTAGGAAGTTGTTTTCATTATAGATTTTGACAGCAATATAAAAAATATTTTGTTTAATTACGTATATTACATAAAAAATGATCTTACTTGGTTAACTGTTTTATTCAATTGTTTGATTATTGTTCCAGATGCAAGAAATATAATACCGAGCTATCTTCTATACTTAAAAAAGATGATACATTTTCAGAAATTATTAGATACCAAGCTAACATCGAACAATTGACAGTACAGCAAAGTAATTTTTTTTAATAAAAATCCGGTTTATTGTATAAAACTAATTTCAAATTATCTTCTAACCAAGAAATTTTAGCGTTTGAAGAGCTAGATGAATTAAATAAATGTATGAATGAAATAAGCAGCTTGATCAACGCTGAATCAACTGATGCAAATTGTTAGTAAATTTTTACAAATTAATATTATTTAATTTAGTGTTTATATGAAATATTTAAGCTTCAGAACAAATACAGGTTTAGAATCGTTCAAAAACAAATTAGATGAGTTGGCAGTAAAGATCAATAGTTTTAAGAAGACTTCAAAATCAAAGTTTTTTTTTTACACTTTTATAATTTAATGAAGCAATGATATAATGTTACCAAATTTTTTTTAATTTTTGTAGGCTTAAATCATATTATGATGAAGAAAAAGAATTATTTTCTGAAATTAATTTGGCTAATCATGTCATTGAGTCTTGGAATATACCAGCTTTCGCGTTGAAAAAAAACTTTGATGACTCCAGGAACAAGCAATCTTACGATGAAGTACGACATTGTGGCTGTTTTAACTTTTACATCTCTAGTGCAAAATATAAAACGAAATAATCACTTTACTGAAGATGGTTCGTGATAGTTATTAAGTATGATTAAACACAAAGGAACAAAAGATTGTTGTGAAGCAAAGACGTAATGAAAGGCCTTTAACTAGTTCTCACGAAAACTTCAACAAAAACGTTAAGTTTCTTTAATTTATTTATAACCCGGTTATAGTTGTTTTTTGGGCTTTTTCGTTTTTTGTTTTTTCCACGTTTAGCTATTTTTAGCTGTTCAACCAGTTTTCAGCTTCAAAAACATTCGTTCATGTTTTTTAATCCAAGATTTAAATTTATAATATCAAAATGTCTACATTTCATCTTGACAGGCGAAAAATTTAGAACGTGCAGACAACAAATCTTCTCATAGTAGGAATAGGAACAAAGGTGTTGTTCTCAAATCCACTGGCAGATGGGTGGATAAAAATAAAATTTTAAATAAACACGACTCCAATGATGTGCCTTCTTTAGTCGGGCTAAGCATAAACTTAAAGAAAACTGATAGCTAATAAAAAATTGTTTACTCTGCTTTTTTGTTTAGTTTTATTTTATTTAGTAAATTAATTTAGTAGATAATTATGATCGCATAAATTAGTTAATAAATTAATTAATAAATATACTTTTTCATTGCTAGTAATAAATTGATAAAAGTTTGATATACAAGTTTTTCTATTGATTTATATGTGTCTAATGCGTGTACATATACGCGTATTCACTTGTTTCGTGCGTGCGCGCGCGCGTGTGTTGGTTGTTTGCTACCTCTGAAAATTTATCAACAGAATTAATGATAATATTAACAAAACATTTTCTCTTGAAATTAGATGCAATTAGAATAAAAGTATAGATACAGTTAGAAAAAATATTTTTATGTGAAGTATATTATTTATTTTCAGTTTTCGTTGAAGTCCAATTTTGCACACTTTCAAGATTATTTCAAAAGGTACTAGATCAACATTGCATTCAACAAATTTAACTTAACTTTCTTTAAAACCGTTTTATATAATAATTTTATTTTACATTTGGTATAAATGGTTTAAAACCTATCATTGTTTATTATTACCTAAGTTCAAAATGTTGTTCAAAGATACAGGTAGGCAAATGCGTTTACTACTAGTATTGAGTATAAGTGAAATGGGAAACTCTCGGCAAGTTCTATAAACACGAGAAAAAAAACGATATATTATGATTGAAAGTGTGCGACTATTGCAAACAACGCCGACGTGGCACGACAGTGAACTAAAATGTTTGAATGATACAGCAATAGGTTGACATTACAATAAATTTTGGTGTTAAATTTATGTCCAATTGGTAAGCACGTAAAGAGGGCAAGAATGAGGTGATGACAAAGACCCATTTTGCTTATGCGGAAAATGTTGCCTAAAAAATTCTTTTGATGTCTGAGCTCTCATGTTCGAATTCGGTAAATTATATATGACATTTATTATTGTAAGGAATTAATTAAATTATTAACTGGCGATTTGTGGATGGTGTTCCCGTTATTGGTGTTTAGGAGATTCAATGAACTTCCTGGAAATGATTAAAATTTTGTCACGCTAACTGCGTCCTGTGGATGAAATAAAAACTTTTTCATTTTACAATTTTGTAACATTTAAAATTTTTAACGAGAATACATCAACAAATTTAACATCTATTTTTTAAAAGTGTATTATCGTATTACACTTAAGTCTTTACTTTATTAAAAAGAATATTTCATTAAAAAGAATAGGCGCAATTTGAAACAAACTTTGTAGTGATTTTCATCATCAGTATCATTTTTACACGGGCAACAAAGTGACTGAGTAGTTTTGAAACTGATGAACAATTTGTCATCTACTTTCATGTCCGTTCCTGAAATTTCAATGCATTAACATTTTTTATTTAATCGTCAACCAACTCACCCTAACAAGGACATCTCAGCGTACGTACTGAAGATGAGACTGACGACCACTCCGATGATGATGGTGAGCAGGCACCCGATGGCGCTGTACCACAGGAACGACACCTCGTACATCTTCTCCAGTCCTCCTCCTCCTCCTACTTCTCCATGTGTCGCCGGTGATGTTGCTTGTCTTTGTGGGGGTTTTTATTAAACGTGAGATCATTTACATAAAATGACCTCCTTATTGCAGTCAACGAAAATAATATTAAATATTCATGAATTGCTGATGAGAGAGCTTTTCAGTGAAATGTTTGCAGTGACTTGTTTCAGTTAAAAAAGTATTGTCAGTTTACAATATCTCTATTGCTAATATAGAAGTTAATTTTGAATGAGCTTCTTTCTATTTGTGAAATAAATCCAATTTTATAATCAAAATAAAACAAACTCATAAAATGGATTCGAAGTTGTTACAGAGTCAGTCATGATGGATGTTGTCATCATGGTGGTTGTCGTGGAAATGTTGTATTCGTAGCAACGATCGATTGAAGTGGGTAGCGTTTGCATGTGAGGCTTCGTTACGAAGGCTCCAATGCTCAGCCACAATGAGAAGATGGAAGCTACGACACATCCCGATATTGCACCCTGCTCAAATGGCACGGAATAAATTTAAGATTACTAGAGATTAGATGAATGACCATTATTCTGCGAAATTTAGAAAATGACAAAATGCTGGTAGTAGCAGATTTAAAAACTTTATTAAAACGCTTGTATCTATGAGATGACGATGATTATCTGATTTTTTTTATGTAAGGTATTTTATAGCATCGTTGCTTATGGTCCGGTGAGCCCAAACCTCGCCCGTCATATGTTCAATTTAAAATGTCTTAATGAGCCTTGTGTACTTTAATTGCACACAAGTTGGGAAAATAAATTCAATATTCCCTGTCGAAAGCAGCTGATAAAAATTATTAGATGGGCACTATACAAATGGAAAAATTGACTAACTTTTGCATTGGCAAACGGGAAGATGCCCCCCAACAAAAACATGCCAAGACTGGGGCCCATGGTTGCCCCTGAAAAACTTAGAGAAGCCTGTTATTAGTTCGCCAATTGCTATTTGTTCATGCAATAATAGACAAAATCAATTTTTTAAAATAATAAATCGCAATCCTTTGTGTTTATTTGTACCTCATCGTATGCTAATTATTCTCAATACAAGACATTAATAACCTAATATTCACAACACAAAACATTAAAATATTTCCACGGTTTAGATATTAGTTGATATTTGAACTCATCACGTCAAGACAGTGTAAAGCTTAATAACTATAAATCCACGCAACAATTGAATTTCAACATTTAACCACAAACAACTTTCGACATTAAAATTTGACGGCCAGCCAGCCAACCAACCTGCAGAACATGCTGTCCTACCAGTTGAGCCAAAAATGCTATCCCCAGTGCACACAAGCCATACAATGCGACTGCAATTACAAAGTATTTATTAACTCCTGCGTTTTTTACGTGAATAGTTTATGACTTTACATTTGCAATTTCCATTTTCATTTGAAGTACTTATTAGATTCAATTTCAACACTAGAGCTTGATGATCATATTCATAAGCATAAGCATTTGCTATGGTTTTTAGTATAATATTAATTGACTATATTTTGTTTCAACCCAAAAAAGATATAAAAAGAGTAATTCTATTACTGACATATAGTATCACAATACTAATATATCATTAGCAAAAAATCTAACTTGAATTACATTAGCATCGATAACTGCAAGAGAAAAGCAATGATTCAACCTCGACAACTGTTTATTAATAAATAATAATTTTTATATGAATTATTCGCGTCATCTGCAAACACCACCTACCTAGAACTTTGATGATGAGAGCCTTCCTGTGTTCAGTTTTATTTTTGAAGAAGTGTGATACCAAATCCTGCCATGTGACTGCAGCACAAGAGTTCAACGAGCTGGATATTGAGCTGCGACAATTATGATTGGTGTATTGTACGCAAGGAGGATGATAGCGCTGAGATTGTTGAGTATAACAATATTGAAAAAAGAACAATTTTGATAAGATGTACAACACAATTTACAAGATAATTTAATGAATTTCTGTAGCAAGTGTAACACAGGTGATTGTTTCTTATTAATACGACTGGTAGGCACTTGAAAAATTCTGTCTAACTTCAAATACATTTGTGTATACGACCTTACTTAACATCAACTCATAGAAACATGCAATAAAGTTAATTTTTTTTATCTGATAAAATTATATAACTTAATGTTTTGAATAAAATCTAAAGTAATCGTAAAATTTTTTCACTTTCGTTAGTGGTGAGTACATTCAATTTTGTTTTAAGAAATGGATTTAATTGGATTATTTATAACCACGCGTAACGATGCAATCGCCATTGAATACATTATATAACAAGATAACCACCGTCTGACCGACAGCTAGTCACGAGTGTAAGATTTTGAAGATCAATCAACTAAAACAAAGATAACTCTAGAAGTTAAAAATTATAAAATAAAGACTACATTATTTAAATTTTAGATTATCACATCATGATATGAATTAACTTAATGTATCAATCCTGAATAATGTATCTCGCCTATTGATTGAAGATAGTTTCAAAAATAAATTTGTAAATATAGTGTAGAAGGATTTGTGAATAAAATTAACTAATAAGTTGTTTAGAGTTTAGTTAACCACGTTTCACTGATCTACAGCTCGTGTATATACACGTACAGCGTTTGAAACTACGCTATGCGTTGTTTCGAATGAGTACACGATATGCTTGTACAAAACAAACTGGAAAAGAATTTATTTCCTTTTACTTTAATATGTAATGATTTTTAATTATAGTCTGAAAATCGGTTTTCTGTATGTGTTTTTTGTTATCGTGTTTCCATTAATTTCAAGGTTTTATCATACGTGAACGCCGACTTATCTCTCCGAGGAGTCTCAATTATTATGTAATTTAATTATTTTAAAATATTCAAACAATTACGCCGTGCAAGCATTATATACACCACTCGAACCTGAGAGCCCCACTGAAGAGGACAGCCAGGAATGCACCAGGAAGACCAGGGTAGTTGAGTACGTTGACCATGAAGTAGGGTACCAACTGAGGTTACATAGAAATCATGTTCATGAGGAAGCAACTACTAATGTTATTAAGGCTTAATGAAAAACAATTCTACCTAGATAGCATTTATTAAAGTTTTTCAATTTACAACTGAAAAGTATACAATACCGACCTGATTGACGTTTTGAACTTGCTTGCTCCTGACAGGATCGCAACCGAGATTGGCGTAGTAAGCGAACACGACGAGACCGACCAGAGAGGTCAGGACATTCATGCTTATTATTAGTGGCACGTTCAACATCACGGATCTGAAAATCCAAGATGAAATATTTGTAATAAATTTCAACATATTTATAAAAGTATATTTATAGTAGAGAAAAATCGAATTACTCGTTGAAAGGCTTGATTTTAGATAATGTTGAGTAACTAACAGTTGCGCTTTAGGCAGTGTGGGGAGGGAGCAGTACCTTTGCACGCTGATCTGTCCCACTCCAAACACTGTCAGCGTGGAAAAGCAGCCACCGATGATGGTCGACCAAAAGGAAAGTCGCTGGGTTGGGTCAGGGTTGAAACTGTTTTGTGGGTAAATGAACAGTTTAAGTCAACAAATATTTAGTGAGACATTGCGTGGTAATTTTGATACTTTAAGAAAATATTAAACAGAAATAGTTTTATTTAATTTAATTTGTTGCAAAGAAGGCGATGAACGAACTTGAAAAAAATGATTCTCCCTCCGGCTTCATTGATGCTCCACATCTCCTTGAACCCACCAACCAACAATATCCCCTTTAATCATTCAAAAAAGTTTCCCTTTCTTACTTAAATATTTATCAAACTTATAAACAGGAAATTACTTGAAAATTTTTATAACGTCAACCACTTATGAAACCACAAGAATCTTCAGTTTGATTTACAATTTAAAGTTTAGTAAATAAACTTGCATAAATTGTCAGCGTTGATATAATTTTTTTTCTAAAAAAAAGGTACATACCTGGACGACGATGAACAGCATGCCACCCAACATGATGACGGCCTGGAAAGCATCTACCCACACGACGCCCCTCAATCCACCCTGTAATTAAAGTTTTGTTGAAAATTTCTAATTTTACAAAAAATACAATCTATTTTTTACATGAATATAAATAGTATTTTAACTGTAAATTACTGACGAAACACCATCAAAACCAAACAATAGAGGTGCGTTTTTAGATGACTGATTGATAGAACGTACCAGAATGGTTAGCTGTTAAGAATTATTGATAATAATTGATAACTGATAATTGTGAGAAAAAAAATTTATATTTAACTTTCTTTAAGCTCGTTTTAAATTGTTTAAGTTGACAAGGCATGCAATATAATTAGGCAATATTAAAATTCCACAGATTAATTGAAATCACATGTCACAAGTAATTGACTTTGCATACAGCTAAAAAAGTTAAAGAGAGGAAACAATTAGAAAAGCTGACAATTTCGTGCAACCACAACTTTACAAAAATGATTAACAGTATAATGATGGTAGCACTAGGAATGTTTGACTCGTTGAGAAAAATTTGCTAAAAACGTCCCATGATATCTTAACAAACAAAATGGAGTTGTATATAAGCAAAACTTGGTCAAGTCAGATTAAAAGCATTTGAAAAGTATTTTACGAAAATAAGCTTGGAATCGGCTGGAGACAAAGAGTAAAAATCAAATTCATGATAAAAATGTTAAGAACCAGAAAAAATAAAATAAATAAATAAATAACTTTTTGAGCAAATTCACAAAATAATGTAAGATCGAGGTATAGAAAGAATAAGAAGACAATTAGATAACTTGAAATGAAATGGATAAATAACGTTGTAGAACACCCGGAGTTGGAAACGTTGAATTTGACAAAAAATGCGACATGAAAAGTATATAATATTAGCATTAATCTTAACAACATCAATTTAATGCGTTAGACAAGGGCTCTTCAAACTGCAAAGATTTATAATATAAACATAAAGAAGACAAAAAATAACAATTCAAGTAAAAACAAATAAAAAATTATTACAAATGTTGTGTAAACAGTGCCTATGATTGCGATGGCAACGATGGAGATATACAAGTTGAGACCTGTCGATGCAACCATTGCAGTTGATGGCGTATATAGTAGGAGACCCATGTAGAAGATCTGTTTGGTTGAGATTTTAGGAGAATTTAATAAGGATTGCAGGTGCTATCAAATTTTATAAAGGTTTATTTATTTAATAAAAAAATTTAGTTTATTAGAATAAATCTTTGCAATATTAAAAAATAAAATGGTTATACCCTTTGTATGTATTAATATAACAAAACCCTTAACAAAAGTAAAAACAACACTCCAATCCAGTGCATTCAAACCTACAACACACAAATGTTTTTATGTCAAAAACAAATGAATAATGAAGAATATTGTGTTGCTTACATTTCCCAGTAGAAAGCTGACGGTGCCCAGAAGTTTTGTGACTTTCGATTTGAAACGAGCTTCCAGGTACTATTCGTATGCAAACGTTTGTCACCAATGCCATTAATTAACAAATTCCAATTATTACTACCCAATAGTATTGTTCGAATAATAAATATTTTTGCTAAAATAGTTTTCAAATAACGACACTTTTTCATCACTAAATGTCAAACAAAATTTAAAGAGATGCTTAAATTTAATAACTCTTTTAAAAATAATATTTCAAAGTTTCACCTCAAAGGAGCTGGTGACTTTCAAGTTGAAGAACAGAGGGACGATGAAGAGAGATGATATGATGCAGGCCAACGTATATCCAATGGTCCTCATGAACAGTTGCGTCCCTTTCGTGTATATCTCAGCTGGAGTGCCAAGCACCACGATCCCACTCAAGAAGGAAACCAACATTGACAGTGCCACAGGGAGTGTGCTCATCGATCGATTGCCCACCAAGTACTCTTTCGGAGTCTTCTGCTTGCCGCCTGAGAATGCATGGTACAAGCCGATGATCAGAGACACCACAAGAACTAAGGCGAATATCACGTAGTCTACGATGTGAAAACTCATGTTGTTCTTATTTGTACTGCAAGTCACCTGCTGTTCATGTTAGAGTCTCTTAACAAATCGATTTCTAAATTTAAAAAATTACAAATACATATCAAAATAAATATCAAATCCGATATAGGTTTGAGAGGTATTTGAAGCACTTTGAAGCACTTCAAAGTGACTAGTGCGTGTTTTTAGTTGAAGTTTGAAGACGAACACTTTTGATTGAATTTCTAATATTAACAGTATAACAGATATATTTATGTAGAACTATATAACAAGGCGATGGTCTTCATTTAAGTTACGGAACACTTTAATCGCATGAAAACTTTATTAATTTTACGAGAATTAAAACAACAGAGAAATCTCTCTTTGTTAATTATTTTAAAAATGTTAATTAAAAAAATCCAAACTCAAGTTTTCGAACTTTTGTAAATCAACACTAACGCGATATATTAGAAACAAGTCAGGTTGGAATGTTTGAGTTATCTCTATTATATCATCTCTAGTATAAAGTATATGTTATCTTGCCTGGAAGGAAAATAGCTTTTAAACAAGTTTAGAACAAAAGAGATTGATATTTCAAAGCAAACGTCTTAGTCACCATTTGACATTTAAAGAAAAATAAATTGAACAAGTGCAAGAACAAGTTGAGATTTTGTAGAAAAAAAAATCGAGAAAATAATTATCTAGAGGAGGTGCATTCAAGTTTAAAAATTTGACAGAGTAAGAGAACGCTTGCAAGAATTATTTTAATTATTATAAGTACCAAAAGACACAAAGTCCAATTGTTTGTTGATTTTATTTTTCAAAATTTCTGTGGCGCAGGTTATTACATTAGAAATATGTTAGTATATTAGTAAATATGCATGTGCATGGTGTGCTAAAAACTCGACAAACGAACAGGCCATTGTTCCGTCAGTTTGATATGTGTGTGTCAGAGTGTGTAGTGTGTGTCAGAGTGTGTGTGTGTGTAGTGTGTGTGTGTGTGTATGTGTGTGAGTGTCGGAGTTTTTCAAGTCAACATTTTTTAATGAAAAAATAAATAAGAAAATTTCAATTTCAATCCAAAAGTAATATAAACATTGAATAATAAATTAATATATTTAAACTGCGTAAAAAAATTTTTTAAATAAACTTTTCACACAATTTCTTAAAAAATCACTTGAATTTTATAATTTCTCCGGCGGAAAAGATTTCAAATCGTTATTCGTGATCGTGATGTCATCATCATCATCGTCAGCGTGATGCCAGCCAATGAACAATTGATAAATATGAGCACCGAGGAAGGCCCCAACGTGTGGCATAACAAGAGGCACCCAGAAAAAATAATCGTAGATCCTACGTGAGAAAATAAATTTATTTCTCTCAATTTTATTATTTTCATTTGGCTTGAAAAAAAAAACTGAAAAACAAACAAAACAAAACGAAACAAAATCAGACGAAGTGCGGGATGACTGTTAGGAGTTATACAAGCATCTAACCAAGCGAGCAGAACAAAATATATCGTACTAATCGTGTTAGATATTACAGTGCAGTTAGAAGTTTCAACACAAATTTTTATTCATAATATATTTCGTAAATATCTTAATCGTAAATTTTAAGTTTACTGCATCAACTGTTGAATGTATTCTTTCTTTAAATGTGTACTAAATAGATCAAAATATTTTGTGTTTTAACCATGAGGCTTTACAGCGGTATGATGAATTAAAATTGAAATGAAATTTAATAACAAGATAATGAATAGAAAGTTAAAATAAATTAAACTTTCATGAAAGAGAATCAAATCCTACGTGAAAACTTCAACTCCGTATCCAACGACAAGCGTCATCATTCTCGGTCCCATATCTCGGGCCGGGTTAATAGCTCCCATGCAGTTGTACACGAAGGAATAATTCACGAAGACAACCAACGCGCCGACAACCAGCGGTTTCAAACCTGCAGAGCAGTGATGATGAAACATGCTGGTTAACATTGTTACTAATCAATGTTGCTGATGAGTATAGCTGGCTAATAATGTTTGTGAAGGAAAAAATCTTTCCGTATAATACTTGAAAACCAGCAAGAAATCTCTGTGTGCCCGTTATAAATAAGTACAAAAATTTAAAAATTTTCATTTTTTATGAGAGTTTAACTTGAATGGAAAAAGTTGCATGTGACTTTTGAAAAGTTGAAAAAAAATTTCTGGATGAGCGTCATGTGGCATTATCAACGGCATTATTTTTCATTTAACTCTGGTTAAATATTCAAATTTATGAAAATTTTATTTGAAAATGTTGTAAAAACATTAAAGTAATAAATAAATTATTTCTTTTTTTAAATGCAAGACGTCGTTTACACCGAATTTAAGAGGTTAACCTATTTTCAACTTCTGATAGAAAAAATTAATGTTAATTTTTTTCAAGCCTTCATTTTCAAAATAACTTTTTGGAGAAAGCGTTTCACAAAACAATATAATACTATTTTAGTGTCCCAAAATAACTGTATTACGTCATGTGGTTTTAATTTATTCTGTTCCTTTTTAATTTATTCTGTCATTATTTAATATTAATACTCGTGAAGCTGTAACAACTATTCTATACCAGTTGAGTGTGCTCAGTCTATTCTTTGTTGAGATTGTTTAGACTAAATTCGGTGAAAATAACTAAATTGCTTTTGCACATTAAATAATATGTTTTGATGAAGTTTAGAAGCATGAACAATAAATGGTTCGTCTTGGACGAACGTTAATACATTTGTTACACATAAACTAAACATTTCAAAATACGAACATTACAATGGTTTGTATTTTATGTCAATCAAATCACCTTGAGGAATGTTTGAATTTCTTTTATCTGAAATGGCCATAACGAATATCAGTAGAACCATCGTGCCTATAATCTGATAGAAAGCATAGACTGTGATGAATTTATATTTTATGGCGAAATAATGTTAATGAAAGGTGCAACGTCCTATCATATTTCATTCCACATTTAAATTCAATCAGAGAGAATCACGCATAATTTACCGGACCGGACATATACTCATGTAACTATGTCTCCATAGTTATATATTTCGCGTATGAATGTCTCATTAAAGCATACACATCATTAATTTTATATTTCGTAAATGTTTTTAAGTAAAAACGAAACTCGAAAGGATTTTGATAAATAAAAAAAAAACAGATTCGTAAATGGTTACTTGATCGATGACACTAGTGTATACACCCAGACCAGGCTGTGGGTAGGTTGCAAATATTTGGGCCGTCGCATTCTGCCCCGTTATAGCTCTTTTGCCCCCATCGTACAAATTTATGGCCTCTGAAATTATTTTAACAGTGAGATGTTCAGTTAAAAGTTGAGTAAAAATTAAATATTCTCTTTCAAGATGAGCCGTGAAATTTTTGAAGTGGTTTATTTATTTGCGCCTTTTTTTTGTTTTCATTTAAATGTGTCTATTAATTTTTATGTTTCAATAATTTAAATGGAAAATACCAACCAAAATTAACTCATTAACATAATTTATTAATCTATTCAAGTGAACGGTTGAATAACTCTATGTAAAAATATTTTGTTAAAAATATTAGCACGAACCATAATGAAGGGCATACGCCAATAGAGCACCTACAAAGGCTCCTAAGTACTGAGCCAGCCAGAACATCAGCATGCCTAGAAGGGACAACCTCCCAACAGACATAAATGCAAAGGACACGGCGGGATTGATGTGGGCCCCTGTTGTTGTTTGTTCATTCCGTCATCAAATATGTCGTTATGTTTATGTTTGTTTCTCATCAAATGCCTCGCGCGTGCCTGACTGAGAAATAATTTTTTTCTTCGCTGGATGCCATACATCCCAGGATAAGTCATGTTAACATGTTCACTTGCATGATTTTAACGCATACTTATGAACTGGTTTGTACAAAAAAGCATCATTAGCATGGTTAACTCGCTGAACATTTATTTACTAATCAATAATTACAATCAATACCAATATTACTTGACTCTGACTAGTTAAAAAAAAATCTACAGAAAATGTTTAAAACAAAAGTATTTAGAGTTTGTTTATTTGTAGAAGGGATGTATTTTGCAGCTGTTTTACGTTAACTAAAAATCAGCATAGTGATATTGAAGATAAATAAGAAGGTATCCACTAGCCTGATACCCCCATGGTAGCGTAACATGCCATGGCGACGGACAGTCCCCACCCCCACACCGGCCCGTCCGAACTTGACGTTCCTTTCGATAGAACAAATTGGGCCGACGAGCTGCACCCACCAAGCTGTTGATAAGATGATGTTCAGCGTCAGCAGGGCAGCCATTGTTTTTAGCGTATATAATGCTGGTGGCTTTTCAAGCTTATTTCTTTAACATTTTTGTTATGTTTAACTTTCTGTTTCACGCGAAACATGTTTCTAAATTAAAAAGAGAAGATATTAAATTTGTCAAACTAGAGGATTTGTTACTATTCTGATTTCCCAGTCAACATATTTTTGTATTCGATTGGTGCATTCCCATTGAAAGATTTATTATCAATATTCTTTTTACAATGAAACCAATGGCAATAATGAAGGTTAACCTAAAAACGACTGGTCAAAAAAACATTCAAAAATGTAAGCGTCTGTATCATTGCGAATGCTTTTATATTTCCAACCAACGTTTTAGGACATTTTTTAATTTGATAATTTGGAATTAAGAGACTTATTAATAAAATTTTATTATCAAATATATTCATTTGTATACTTCAACAACCTTCTTCAATAAACCATGAAATCTAATTTACTTAAATCATTGACCATCAATGAAATGGGAGTAAAATTTAGATGATGTGTAAGAAAGAAAGAGCAAACCTACCAACATATGCTACCTACGCATCAACCAAAAACATCCAGCCAACATTGTGACCATCAGACAAACAAGCATCCAACCAGCGAACTGACTGACCATCAGAAAAGCAAACACCCAACCAACATACTGACCATCAAGAGACATGTCCCCAGAAACTCAGCTAGAAAGTATTTGACGTAGATGTTTTTGATGTGGCCCAACTTTTCTAGACGGTGGACTGGAAATGCAGGCTTGAATACGTCACAGAAGACCATCTTCTCTTTCTGCTTTTTAACTGAGGCTGATGTTGGTGGTGTTACTTCTGCCGCCAATGATGATGATGGTTCGTTATCCACGTTGTTAACCAGTTTCGCTGTATTATTTGAATTCCAATTTAAAAGTTATGGCTGAAATTTGAAACGGTTGAATTTGAATTTTATTTTAATCAACGTCCTAAGGTTAGTAGAATGATCATTTATGATGCTAAAAATAAAATTCTGTGACATACATCCAAACATCTGTATTTGGTATATGTATATATATATTATGAATATATATATATATATATATATATATATATATATATGTATATATATCATAATATATTATATTATATATATATATATATATAGTGAGAGAGATAAATAATTACTTGAACAAATACAACAAATGATTGTACACACGCACATTCACACACACACACAAAATACACACGCAGACAAACACAGACATACATAACACATTCACACACATATGAATATACTTTTACAATTTAATAGACCCATGTCCGTGCATACACCAATGCATAGATTAGATGCATACATTACACTGAGCAACAAAAAAAATTTTTGAGGAAATTTCCTAATTTTTTACAACTGATTTATGATAATTTGGCACCGCTGAGTCCGAAAATGACATCCGTTTCTCTAGGTCAGGTCCAGTTTTTCTGCTAAGTTAAATGTTTATTTTATTTTATTTGTGAATAAATCAGTAAAATTTTTGTGCCATAATCGGTTTATTTCTATGAACATTTCTCATTCGGAATTGGTTTCAAAGAGAAAAAAGCGTTCTGAAACACAGTACCTTAAGTAAGGGTCATTAATGTTCGTCATTGTTAAGAATTTAGGGCTGGAACTTCCGTTTATTGGATACCCTGGAATGCTCAGCATCAGGGATGTCTCTCTTTAGAGTCCAGCAGTAATCAGCCATCATGACGGCATTCCAACGTCCCTGATACCTGGTTTCCCTCTCCTTCATCTCCTGGGGGAATCTCTCTCCCTGCTCGTCGCTCATTGATCCAAGATTCTCAGGAAAACGATCCATATGTGAAAATAGATAATGCAGTTTGATGCTCATGTTGCATCCGAGTTTTTTGAAAGCAGTCACCATATTGTTGACAAGTTCAGCATAGTTTCTGGCCTTGTTGTTGCCAAGGAAGTTTTTCACAACGAGAACAAAAGCATTCCATGCTTCCTGTTCCACTTTGTTCATTGACTTTTCAAACTCTGGATCTCTGATGAGCCGATAGATTTGAGGACCGTCAAAGATACCAGCTTTTAACTTCACTATGGTTACTCCCGGAAATGTCTGGCACATGTAATTGAAGCAGCCACCTTCCTTGTCTAGAGCTTTTGTGAACTGCTTGATCAAGCCAAGCTTGATGTGCAGTGGTGGGAAGAGTATACTGTCTCTGTCCACCAGAGGGCTGTTGATAACGTTACTTGCTTTGCAAGGCACTAGTTCCTCTCGCACAGGCCAGTCCTTCTTCGTGTAATGGTGAGCAGTGTCCCTACTGTCCCACATGCACAGAAAACATGGGTATTTGGTGAACCCGGATTGTTGCCCCAACAAAAAATTCACCATCTTCAGGTCGACACAAATAACCCACTTATGCTGATCATAACGAATCATCTCCAGCACATACTTCACCGCTTCATACTTCTCCTTCAGTTTAGTAGAGTGAGCAAGGGGCACAGAGGCAAACTGGTTGCCGTTGTGCAGTAGAACACATTTCAGTGACCACTTGCTGCTGTCAATGAACAGTCTCCAGTCTTCGGGCTTGTACTGCGGCACTCCCAGGTGGTGCAGAAGCTGTGCAATATCTGTGCAGTACACCAAGTCCTGTACCTCCGAGAAAAATTGGAGGTACTCTTGATGCCTGTTGCGGTACAGGGTGATGCGAGCACAGCCAGAGAGGAGGTTTTTTTTTTCAATCTGGATGCCAACAGTTCAGCAGAGGCCTTTGACAAGCTGAGGTCGCGAACTAGATCATTTAGCTCCTGTTGGTAAAAAAGCTGTGGAGTTTCATCGTCAACAACTGGCCATTCTTCTTCTGTTTCCTGATCTTCATCACTGGAGGATTCGTCATCACTGATGTCTTGAAGTTTGTGAAACACAGGTACTGGAATATCATCACAATGAGCTACAGGACGACGTGCGGATTGCAAATCAGGATACTCGAGGCTGCTTCGGTTCTTTCTGTTTATCCCAGTCAGATCGATGCTACAGAAGTAGCAGTCAGTGTCATGGTTTCTCTGCTCCCGCCAAACCATGGGAATTCCAAACTTCAGACACGTCTTCTTGCCCTTGGTCCACTGACGCAGATACACGGTGCAAGCCTTGCACACCATGTGTGGCGCCCAATCTTTATCCTGGTCACCAAGTTTAATACCAAAATAAGCATGGTAAGCACGCTTTATGAAACATGTGACTTGATTCCTGTTATGAACAAGTGTGTATTCACCGCAGATATAGCAAAATACGTCGGGTTTATTTTTACAAGATCTTCTCTTGGAAGCCATGTCGTTCGCTTGCGATTCGTTTGCAACTGATACCTATACTAATGCAATCTGCTATATGGCTCAGATTTGGAAAATGCTGACGTAACTATCCATAGTTATACACAGCCTCGTCCGGGCATGTCTGCGATTGTCTGATCACGTGACTGTAGTTACGTGATTTAATGCATTGAACGTGTGTGTGTGTGTGTGTGTGTGTGTGTGTGTGTGTGTGTGTGCATAGGGGAAACATAAAAATACCAATTAATTAAAAATTGCAAATTCCTCATAGTGATGAAGTGATTAAGAACAAAGCATCACATACAGCGAAAATACCTGGGACTGTACACAAAAAAGTGAAAATGAAGATATGGCCATAGCTTAGAAAGTTGACCTGATCTAGAAAAACCAATGTGATATTTGGATTCAGGACATCAAAATTTCCATAAATCAGCCGAAAGACCTTAGGAAATTTTTTGGGTGTTGACCAGTGTTATCGCTCAAGCCACGTAAATAAAATAATCATATTTGCGACATTTGCCACTGCGTAATCTTAGCACGCTCGAACTTTAACTTACGTAGCGATAAAAATATTCATTGAAGATCCATATTTGTAGTTCTACACTATCGCAAATAACATTCATTGATCCATTGTTTGTTATTTATTTTGTTTTTTTTTATATTCTTCAACAATTGTTAGAAAGCTCGCCAAACCTCTTGAACTTTAATCCGCCGACGAATGACAGCTCATCATTATTATTATTATTATCATCATCATTTTGCAAACACTTTAAAAATTTTTCACCCTTCTTCGTTTTGAAGTTTTTAGGTTGAAGTGTGCAGTCACTAGCGATTAAATTAAGAATATTGTAAAAATTTTCAAATATATCTCATTTCCTGCAAGTATAATGGGTCCATAGAGGTCCAGGTAATTCATTTCAACTCACTAAACCGAGTGCAACTACGTTTGCTATATAAATTTGCAAAACATACCATAGATCCATGTTTGCATGCTGAATGAATTCATCAACAAATAATAATAAATAAAACTGGTCGTGAAATAAATAAGCGGTGAAAAGTGAATAGCAGCCTTACCTACTGCTCGGGCGATTTGTAGCATTGCCCTTATATCGAACAATTCAACGGCAAATATTATTTTCTCTTTTGAAGCACCATGTTTTAATGATATGATAATTATATTTATGTGCGCGTTTTGTGCCTGTTTTGCATATGTCCCAATTGATTCTAAATGTAACTCACAAGCGTAACTCAAATAAAAGGAAGCGTAGGGTTAGTAGTAGAGGGAATGCTGTTAATAAATGGCAGAAGTTACTGATGCACCGTGTTGTATCAACTAACCACCCCCCATGGTGGGGGCGCCAACCTCTGCAGACCATTCGATGACCACCAACATTTTTGAAAGCAAAAATTCAACTAATTTATCTTTGAAACTATTTCTAGTAACGAACGTCTGCAAGTTCTTATTTCTTCCCCATAATCATTGTTTCTGGTTAAGTTTGCATTTTTTGTCTACTTTAAAAACGACTCTGGATGTACGAGGTGTGACGGTGCCTACCTACCTACCTATTGACACACAAACAAGCACACACCATGCACATTATAAATATCAAAAAGAAGACATTTAAAAATTGAACTGAAAACAAATCTTTATATATATATATATATATATATATATATATATATATATATATATATATATATGTATATTTACAATATTTTATAAATTCTACCGAATGTTTGGCGTTAATATGTTTGTAGTTCGTTCGACAAGTCTTGAACTACTTTCTTTTTAACTTCTAATTCTCGAGAGAGATGGAGCAGTCGCTGCTCGCGATCTTGTTCGATTGTTAAATTACGTCGGTTGGTCGCAGAACTTCGAGTAAATGTTGGTAATAGACCATAATTTTTACAATATTCTATAAATTCTACCGAATGTTTGGCGTTAATATGTTTTTAATATGTTGAACTACAAACATATTAACATAATTTTTACAATATTCTATAAATTCTGCCGAATGTTTGGCGTTAACATGTTTGTAGTTCGTTTTTTCGATTTTTCTCACTAAAGTTTAAAATATAAAATATATAATATATATCTGTTTAACGTTTGTGACGAAAAATAAAAATTATTTGCAGTTGTTTTATTTTATTATTTCAATTGTAAATTCTAACTTTCTTGCTCATGGAAAATTTTGTGAAATTTAGAAATCAAGGATGCGCCCAGCACTGAATGCTGCCTGATGCACTGGCGCTACAAGTGTGAGGTAGCAATGCAACACGATGTTCATCTCAAGTAACGAATCTGTTAAACTAATTTGTTATAAATCTAAATATTTTTCGAAGATATGTCCATCCAAGAAGTTGCCTCACGTAATAACTACTTGTTATATATATATATATATATATATATATATATATATATGAATCTACAATAAATGTTCGTATCATTTAATAATTTAACCATGTAAGGATTGGTTCACATGATTTTGCTGTCAAGCCTGCCATTTAAAAGACGATTAAATATTGGTTATAATTTAATAGTGTCTGTGAAAACTGCTATAACGAACTCTGTATAAATTTTTTCCTAATAATAAATAATAATATATGAAAAGAATTCACTTATGAATAAATGTCAAGCAGAATAGCGTACAAACAAACATACGCACATACGCACAGCGCT